AAGACTACCATTGTTAGCATATTGCATAACAATCATGTACTCTTTTGTTTCTGGGTCTTGTGTGACTCCATAAAGTTGAAGGAAATGATAAGTTGCACACTTGGCATGATTTCTGAACTATTCAATAATAAATAAATAAATAAATACAGAGCCACACTAAGTATCACTTTAATTAATAATATCATGATTGATTACCTCAGAAATAAATAATTCCGGCATCAGATCAAAATTCTTAAAATGTTTGAGTACAACAATTTCTGCTATATCCTCATCCAAATACTTTTTATACTTGGCAGTATAGACTGTTCCATAACCACCAGATCCAACCTTGTTAAATTCATAAAAGTCAGCATACTGAATATGTCTTATATTTTCAATAAACCTATCCAATATTGCATGCATTTCATGGTAGAAAACTAAATAATATTTCTGAGTAGATGGCTCTTGAGTGATTCCAATTATCCAAATATTGTCTTGTGTCAATATCCCCGGGTATTCCTGAGTTAGCTATTTGAGTAAACAATACAATCATTACAACAATCAATGCAACAACACATAATTGATAATATTTGCATTATTATTATTTTACACATGAGTAATTTACCTGATAAAAATCAAGTGACTGAGTATCATTTATCTGCTTGAGTGTCACTTTTGTCCATTTATTTATTATTGGATCTAACCAATATGCTATATGTGTGATCCATGGCGTAATAAGGTCATCTGTTGTATGTCTGTCAATAGAGAGTATTCAATCCATTGTATATAGGCATCATTTTCATTCTCAATATTACTCCATGACTCCATAATGAATGAATCCAAAAGCTTGTTGCCCGTAGTCCAATCAGGAGGTGCTGGTGCTTTACACCAATAACAGAATGCATTTATCTTAGGTTCTAATTGACACGTACATGCCAGACATAAACCACCCCCACATTTTATTAGATAATACTTTTGTTCACATATATCATACGTGAATCCGATGGTAACCCAAACATTTGTGATAAGAATATCCGGATGCTCAGCACATAACTAGTGGGAATTATACATAAAGTCAACATTTGTCTAAGCAATGGATAACCATGATATATTCACATGAATAATTGATAGTCACCTTGTCATAATAGAAATCATCCATCCCATCTTTTATTTCAAGCAGAGTCAATGTGACAAATACATCATCATCAGTAATAGGTAGACCATACAAGCAGTATAATTCATTTCCCCTATTGTCAATACAATTAAATGGAATCCATTCCAAATAAGCATCATTTGGTGAGTTTGTTTGTAATTGAGATTTCTGAATAAACTCATCGAGTTGCTCATGGTTGCTAGTCCATCCAATGGATAATTCTTTGTGTCCACAAATGCACCACGCAGGACTACATCGGAGTATTCCGCATGCGGAGCAGAATCCATATCGAGAATAACAACGGTAAAAGCGTTTATCAGCAACCATGTAATACTTGTCATTAGACATAGTAAATCCTTTTATGAGTCCGTTGCGCTCCTCAAGCCAGTAGGAATATCTTCTGAACTGATTCTCATCATTATTGTACTCGTGTGTTGGAAGTGAGTATATCCTGGCAAACTCACTCACAAGTGTTGGCGTACATTCTTCGCTACTTCCAAGTAATGCCAACATTATCATAGTTTTACCATTATCATCATGATAACAAGTGCGAATAGCGTAATAAATAGTGTCAATTTGGCTTGACTTTATGTCGGTAATTTCCTCGTAAGGAATCCATTCATATCCGTTTTTCGAGGATTGAATCAAGTTGTCAATTGCTGGATTATGCATATTCTTAACCCCAACTAATGAATCGTTTGAATAAGAGTCAACGTTTCTTGTGTTACATCACACGTAACCATTGTGCAATATCACGTACTACCTGACTATATTCTCGTTATTAATGGATTCTAATAGTAAAACCGCATTATTCTGTCTACCAAAGTTTTCGAAACAAGATTTATCTATCGCATAATCAGTATTTTTTTAGTATCTTTTTATAGTGTAATAGCTTAATATATATGATTCAAAACATGGCTTGTTCATTTGAATTAATTATTTTCTTTTTAATAGGCGTTGCAGGGACTTTATTTAGTAAAGTAATAAGACGGAACTATTTATTGCGTGAGGTAAACATATCGATGTGCGACGCATCACTACTTCCACTACAATACAGGTTTCCCATGTTATACTCAAGTTATACGAAAGATGATGTATTTTTCTACGTCATATATGTCTATTATCTGCAAACAACATACTAACAAAATTGCCATTCAGAACATTCAAATTGTCGGAAAAGAGAAACAACTCAATCACGAAGTAATAGACTAAACAATCTTAAATTAAACGTAATTAATCCCACACAAATTCAGTTTTCTCGATGTACTAATATTTGATATATCTTCTTAAGTTATTAGTAAAAAAAACATGTCTACATTATTGTCTTCGGTAATTTGATCGATAAATTCGTTCTATTTGAGAATGGTTAATGGAATTGTGATTTGAAAAACTTCGGCGATATACGCTTCGTATATTAAATCCAACGCTTACGATAAATGTTGTCAGATAATAAAGTTAATCCTTTGAATCATCCTTACACTCGCTTAGTACTGGCAATTACGATCTGCCATTTTTAACTCTTACGTAGTAGTACTCTATGCCATCGGACGGCTGTACTTTTTATACTGATAACACATTCGCCTGTTTCTCGATAACTTTACGCTAAATTTTAGGCGCAATGTGCAAAAATAGGTAAAAACCCTTTTACATCTATTTCTATTCTAACTGGCCCTGATACTCACCCCACCCTAACTCTAAACTTACTTTATTAACAGGCATGTTTTTTACTACCTAGTTTGATATTGTAATTGCTGTATGCCCTAGTAATAAAAATAAACGTGTCATTGATGTATGGTATATAAATATGATATGTACACGTGCTAAGGTAATATACAGTAAGACGTATTTGATGATGCCTTACTCAACTAACTCGGATATTACGACCATTCCAAATTAACGCTGTTTGTTTCGCTATTCACAAACGAATACCGAATGCCGCTAAACGGTGATAATACTTTTATCACTTGGAAGCGATGAAATATTTACATCAATGCTTGTGTGTTTCATAATTTAACTCGGATTCATGGTCTAATAGCTTTTCCCGACATACTTGAATAAAGTTCTACATTAAAATCGAATTTAAAGATACCGATGATTCTGTCTATAAAATTGATGCACAATGCATGTTTAATGTAGCAGCGAATGTTGGGCTTTAAACCATAAATGCCTTTTCTGGCTCGGCTTATTTATAAAAGGTTTAACAATTATAAATTTTATAGACATGCACTTTTCTCACTTTCAAATATTTTATTATTACATCAAGAAGTAACAGTTTACTGTAACATTCAGTCTGTGGTGGTTCCAATCTCTCGGATTTAAACTGTTCGCTAGATTACAACAACCGAGTAACAGAAACACGAATACACAAACTAATGAAATTACAAACGTAACAAACTGCTGTTGTGTCTGAATACAGTATCTCTGCAGGTATGTTCGCTTTGTTACCATTTATTGCAGCCAGCATGCATCACGAATAAGCATATTTTTATGTTTATGTTTACGCCTATGCGCTATGTATAAAATTGTTTATTGGATGCAAATATGGTACTCGTGAAGTTTGTCTATAAAACTCTTGTAAAGAACAATCTATGTAATTATTACTTTCTAATAACTAAATCATTTCACAATTTCTCGTGTTCCACGTATTATTGTTTATGTTCCCTGACCTGATTACATTATGTTTTTTCTTTCTTGTCCCCCCTTGCCCCCCTTGCCCCTTCAATTAACCAATCAACACATGAACCGCCGATGCCGCCGGCTGACCATCGTTCAAGAGAAACACGTACTGCGGTCCGGGAGGAGTAACAAACGCGTTTGGTGGCATCCATACGTTTGTTGTGTAGCTCCCATCAGCGTTAGCAGTCACTTTATCCACCAATAATTTGACACATCTCATCGACATTGCTTGCGAGTGAGTCTTGAACCCAGTGTGGATCAACGACGAAGTAATAGTACCTGGTTGACCACCGGCAATCGTAAACGTAACCTGATATTCGGCACTGTATTTAACGTTAATGGGTGCCTTGTTGATAGCTGAACTGTTGAAAGATGTTATGGTAATCCGTGGCTTTGATGCATCTATATATGGAGGCGTGAACACTTCTGCACGGTATCTGTAAATTTCAAATGGGTATCAAGCAATCAGCAAGATATCTCCCAATAAATATGAACGTGTGTTTGTTAAAAAGAAAAATACATACTCTGTAATAAATTGAACGTTTTGACGAGGGTTTGGGTTAGGATTACTTCCGGCCACCCAAATAGTCCCATCAGGAATCAACATTGCCACCGAATGATACAATCTTGGAATGGTAGTTGCTGCATAGCGCGTCCAGCGTTGACCTTTGGGTGCGTTCATATTATAAGCTACTGGAAATAGTACCGGATCGGATTGAAGGTAGTGACCGCCCTCGACTGTAATAATAAAAGACTAGGGGTTAGTAAATAATTCCTTGGGCCAAAAATCCTGTCTCAGTCTCTTTCTGTCCCCCCTCTCTCTCTCCCCTCTTTCACACTACTTACAATAACCGGCTATTCCAGTAGCAGCTCCATTAACAAATACCAGTGTTCCATCCGGTAATGCAACCGAATCACCCATTATTCTTCCTTGACCACCGAAATCATCCATGTCCCAAGCCGGGTCCTGATCACCCAAATTTATTCTTCCGCACGTATTATCTGCCGGACTAGTGTATGACTGCACGGTTTGTCCACCGCAAATAATCGCTTCGGGATTGTAGTTGTTTTCATAAGTCAACGGGAGAAGAGCGCAGGACCCAGTTAGAGGATAGGACCGCGAAGCCCCGGGGATATCGGGAAGAGCTTTGATGACTTGGTTTTGACCAATATCGTAGATTACTGATTTTTTGTTTGCAAAGATAAAGAGATAGCCTTGATAGAAGCCATCAGCAATGACTTGGACACAGGGGTAAAGGTTGAATGGAAGCCTGATAAAGGAGATTTTCGAGCGTGACGTGTAAGCAAAAGGTTTTCAAATCGTCATTTCCGTAAATGCGTTTTATATAGATGACTTACGTGTCAACCAAGAACTGAATCGGGAATGCATTGCTTGTCCCGGAAGAAGAATAAATCTCGTATGTCGGGTTGTTCTTTCCTGCAGAATTTGCTCCTGTTGCCACCTTTGATCCACCAAGATTCATGGTTCTTCCGTCTGGAAGACTGAATATGGATAATTAAGATTTAGGATATCGTATAATATGTGAGCCCGCATAACATGAGCCTTCCCTTCCCCTCCCCTTCCCCTCCCCTTCCCCTTCCCTTTTCTTTCCTTTCCCCTTTTCTTTCCTTTCCCCTTTTCTTTCCTTTCCCCTTTTCTTTCCTTTCCCCTTTTCTTTTCTTCCCAAATTATTATACTTACGTAACCATAGCATTGTACCACCTAAAGCTACTTAATGGTGTCGGTAATTCTGTCCAGGAACAAGAATCATCCTGACATGGTTGAAAAAGCCTGATTCCGGAAAACCCGGATTGGGCATTTATTTTATCCTGTAAAACTGGCGTACTGCCAGCGGTGCTCATGAACGTGCCGTTCCCAAGAAAAGCACCCGCTGAACAAAAGGTGTTGGTCGTCAGTGGCAAAACACGGTATGTGTTGGTGTCCAGATGATATTCGCATGACCATCCTATTGAACCGTCTGGCAAGGTTGCATCACTTGATTCAGCTAGACGGGGAAAAAAAATTACAAGTGAAGTGGAGGTGAATGAATAGAGTCAAGCGAAAGAGAGATAAAATATGATGATCTACTTAATTAGGTAACACGTGATCAGATTTTAAACATTAAGTTACTATTTACCTTTATCAATAATCAATACTCGATCAGGAGCCACCAAAATGGCGTGCATCGCGGCGACGCCTGTGCTGAAAGTATACGGGAAACGAGATTAATAAGATTTATGATAGTTTGTTGTTGTGAACGTTTGTGGGGATCGCGCAAGTATAATTTGTTTTCCAAAGGAAATACTTACTTTCCGACCACCTTCCATGAGCCTTGTGCCGAGACAAAGGTTGTGATTAAAGACAGCACAACTGCTGCAACAATTAAAGTAACATTCACAATCCTCATAACTAAAAATTATATAGTCCTTGATACTATGTCTAGTGAAATGAACAAATAGTACTGACATCCACTAACGAGCTCCGTGTGTCAAATTTCATCGAGTATTTATCCATCTTACGGTGCCGCATATCATTTGATAAAAATAAGGCGCTCATTCCTATCAATCCGAATTTATTTTATAAAAAGTCATTCAATCTAAGTTTAGTAACGGGATAATAAATGCCCTTGACGTTGTGTCACATGGCTGATCGTATTGTAAAGATATTGCTCTATAGAGATATAAATAAAAAGAGGGCCACTCGGCTAAACCCCCCGCTTCTCAATTGTCCAAGGAGTTGTCACACAAATTGTTTCATAGACGAGTGTACAACCCGTAGCACTGTGGGGATGAATGAACTTGCGGTCCGCCGCTTGCCGAATTTGTAACAACGATTTAGGTTCAAAATAATACACAGAGTCACATCTTTGATTCGTATTAGGAAAATATCATTTTGATGTTTCAAAAAGCCTATTTTAAGAATATCCAATTCCTCCCCAATTTTTTTTCCGGTTTTTTGTTTTACGTAATTCCCGCACGGATTGGTCAATTCGATTACTAATTACTAAACAGTAACGTATTATTACCGTATTGTTACCGTAAAATTAGCACTGAATAGATTGCATTGCTCGGCTATAAATAAATCAAAAGTCACTGTCACCCCAATGTCTCACTGAATGAAATGCGTAATTTTAGAGGGCAAATGATTGTCATGGCAATTCATTATTCTATCTTGATTGTGTTGGTGGTCAATTTCTAAATTTGGGTAGTGGAATTTCTATTGTGTAAACGTTATTGCCATTTTGAATAGATTGATTGTGCTTTCTCAGGAGAAGAAAGCATGTTTGAGTTCATAACATTGCAGAGTCGTAATGTAGAAAAGTGGACATGATTCGAATGCGAGAACGCAATTATTCTAATTTCCAAAAAAGAGAACTTTCCACCATGAGTGTCACAAATACATTGCAGATCGAAAGAAGCTCAGCATTTCGTTACAGATGAGAGTTGGTTTTTTTCCCAGCACCAGGAACACAATGATTTTGCACTCTAATGTTTTAGTAGGTTTGACTTTAGACACAACATTTGATCAGATATAACTCGCCAAAAATGCCAAGTTTAACTTTTAGAATTCAACCGTCTCTTTTTGGTGCAAAAATGCCTCACACGGAACGCTTTCAGGATAGATTAAATAAATCCTTGTGTTTCTTTGTAACCCCACTTCATAATTGCATTGTTTCGCCTTACGGGATAAACAATTCCGCGTTCTAAATTTTAGACTTGTATTAATATATCGATTGTTACGTCAATTTGCGTTTTCTTGGCAAAATCCCATTATATTAATCGCGCCAAGAGATTTACTACTTGCCTCCTTTTTTTTTCGGATAGTATTTATCCGCATCATGGGTTAGGTTGCCAAATTTAATTTAGATGTGCGAATAAACAGGTTTGCGTTTTTAAAGTTATTGTAATATTAATCGCACGATAAAAGTGTGGTATGTTTGTGTAACTTTAATATTACTACATGCATTATCGTTATTTGTCAAATAGTCTTGTCTTACCATGCCATCCATTCACAATCGTCTGGGCCAAAGAGCTATACTATAAAAGGTCTTATTTCCCAGCTATACAATTGTATGTAGCAAGTTAAGTCTACTTTGACATGCATGCCCTCCTTTCTATCGTTCATTTGTCGTTATCCCACTAGGCTCTATTTACTCAATGATATAAGTGACAGCCAGCCCATAATGCGCAAGAAGCTTATCAAAGTTTTTGCTTTAATCTTAATTAAGACGTTGGAATCGCCAAATGACAATAGCCGGAAATCCGACTAATCTGAGAACTAACGCTAGATGGTTCTAGATTGTCCAATTTTAATACTCCCATTGTAAAGTTTTCGTACGCTCAACGCTTATCTGTAACGGCTGCTACAGTAATTATTGAGTTGTTTGGTTACACTCTCATTATTTGCAATCTTTTTTAGGCCGAGCATTAAAACACCAATGCCTATATATAGTAATCGAGGGCTTATCATTTCAAACAACTCTGGCAAGGAACACAACAATCACATGTAATGCAGAAAGGGGTAAACATCAATACCGCAAGACACAAGTACAAGACACAAGTACAAGACACAACATACATTGATAAATGAAAAAGATTCTGCTTGTTCTCTCGGGCCGTTTATTTGCTTATCAGATACATGATGACATTATGCAGATATTTCGATTTCAAACGACGTGAGGCCAAAATGGTGCACCCAGATTATCATTAAACACATCTATTAGTGATAAGAAGCTATTCTACCGATCCAGATTATATACGACCCTTGGTTTTTACGATAACGCAGCTCATCATTTATTACTGAAAATAAGAATGTGTAACATTTACTTGCATACAATATAACAATTATCATCTACTACCGAACACAATGCCAGAGATTCGGGGTCGTGGAACTATTGGTGTTTATTTTAGGATTGGTTACTGGTCATTGAAAGGGGAACTCACGAGTGGGAATACAGGTACAGGGAGTGTGCAAGCCTACAGTGTGCAATCAAGCAGCGAGTGCAGGTCTGCAAGCCTATAATTATTTATTGTATTGGGGGAAAAAAAAGGTCGCTTAGGTTTTTTACTCATGTACAAAAACTTTTTTTAAACTTTTTACCCAGGTGATTTGCACATCTAAACTTTATACAGTCAAGCTGCATGTTATTAATATACCGACTCGCCTACATATGAAACCGGATAGGACACAACCTTGAATTGGACAGTCCTATAATCTAGTTCAAAAAGAACCCTCCCTATTACTATCGCCTTATCGCGTTAATAATGGTTTTAGCCGAATTTCCGTTCTTTTTAAGATTATGGATACGAATGAGATTAAACCTCATCACACAATAGTTTGACCAACTTTAAAAATCTACCCCCCCCGTTATCATCACTTTTCTCCCCCTTTTTCCCTTTGTAAGCACAATTAGCGAGCCGCACACAAGGAACTATATATAGTTGCACACAAGGATTGACATAAATGGTAGAGATTTGCAACTTGAGATTCGTCAACGCAACGGTAACAATTTCACTGTCGTACAACAGCAGCGATTGATAAGCCTTGAATGGAATTTTTTACTGGGTGTAATTGCCTATTTCCACCGGTATCAGACTACAAGATCGATAAATCGTGTGTGCCATTTCCGCCACCCACCCCCCATTTGCTGTTTCGGAAAATAACAATTGCATAAACATTGTAAACATTCTATTCCTGGGTGTTTTTGTCTCCTGCATACGCTATACAAAAATATGCCCACAAGATTGTTGTATGCATGACGCAAGTGAGACATATTTGTCAATAATGTACAAAAAAAATGCTGCACGTACATTGACAAATGCCTTTGTACAATAAAGCTAGTTACAGTGTTTCAGTGTGCAATCAAGCAGTGAGTCGGTGACCGTTGTCTCTGAGTGTAGCCGTGAGCGATTACGCCGGAAAAAAAAAAGGTCACTAAATGTACAAACCCTTTTTTTTTTTAAGCTTTTTACTCAGGTGAATTTACACATCTTGTGGTTCACATAAAAATAACTTTGAGCTACCTCTAAACTTTATAGGTCAAACTGCAAGCTATTAATATACCGACTCGCCTACATGTGAAACCGGATAGGACACAAACTTGAATTCAGTTATTGGACAGTTTTTTTTTCTCCCATGATTTAGTTCAAAAAAGAACCAGGTTGTCTCTTCCTTATTACTCTTTATCGCGCTAATATTCACCGGTCATTTATCATGAACTTGCTTTAATTCATTAATGGTTTTAACCGAATTTCCGTTCTTTTTTTTTTTTTTTTTAAGATTATGGATACTAATGGGAATCACACAATAGTTTGACCAACATTAAAAATCTACCCCTCCATTATCATCACTTTTTCCCCCCCTTTTTTTCCCTTTGTAAGCACGATTAGTGAGCACACAAGGAACTATAGTTGCACACAAGGATTGAATGAATGATCACATAAATGGTAGAGATTTGCGTCGTCAACGCAACGGTAACATTTGACTGTCGTACAACAGCGATTGATAAGCCTTTAATAGAATTTTTTACTGGGTGTAATTACTCTTTTTTTTCACCGGTATCGGACTACAAGATCGATAATCGTGTGCACCATTTCCCCCCATTTGCTGTTTCGGAAAACAACAATTGCATAAACATTGTAACATTCTATTTCTGGGGGGCGTTTCTGTCTCCTGCATATACGCTATACAAAAATATGCTTCCCACAAGATTGTTGTATGCATGACGCAAGTGATCAATAACATACAATGGCAAATAGGAAAGAAAAATAAATGCAGCATGTACATTGACAACATATTTTTGTATACAATAAAGCTTGGTTATAATGTTTCAAACATGGGGTTTTGCCAGACATTCATTCTTTACAAGCAAGCAAAACTTTTGTGTGCTTTTGCGTATGTGCGATATTTTTGTTTGTTTTTATAATGGATCGAATAATGTGTATGACGTGTAACGAATTGTAATTCTCTCCAAATTTGGGAGACCGCAGCATCAAAATAATCTAAATAGAAATTTCTGTAAACGATACTCTACCCCTTCGTACGAGTGAATAATTTAGGCAGGAATTAACAATGAAGAAACCTGTTATTTCCGTCCGTAATATAGCCATAGATTCAATTAACTCACGAGTTAATTGTGTGAATTTAACCCCTAAAATTTATTTGACAGTAACCATGTTTTTTCATAGTAAAAACTGATATCTCAAAATCCAAGTTGAAAATCACGAAAATTCAGTAAACTGTTTGGGCCAGCAAAACAACTTTCCTTATCAAGCCTTACAAGTCCAATGTCAATATCGATATATGATGGCGGAAAAACACAAATACACAGTTTAGGGATATGTGATTTATTAACAATTTAAAATCCCTCAAAAACGAAAAAGCAAATGTATACGTGTAATCTCATAA